GGCAACGGAAAACAGTGGTACGCGTCCGAAAAAGGAAGAAGGGGATGAATGGAGGCCTGCCAACGGAGGCAAAAAGTGCGAGAAGAGCGGTTGATGCGACGCTGGACGGCCCAGACCGTGTCGCTTTTGTGTTTTGTGTTTCGTGATCTCCAAAAACTGGCGGTGGCAGGACACTGGGGGAAAAAGAATTCTGAATATACGCAGTTCCATTGTGCGTAATTTTTGGACTTTGGGCTTTGTTCCTTATTCTTGTTTTGCTTTGTTTTGCTTTTTGTCATTTCCGTCTCTCTTTATCCGTCTTCCCTTCGCCGCCCTGGCATATGCATCTGTTCGTCCTGTCTTTTTATTCCGGACGCATCCAGTTCGCAAAAAGAGTCACGAGACGGCCATCGTTTATGCGCTCCAGCAAATCCCCGTTTCATGCAACGAAGTGATGCAGATAGACAAATGGGGAGTGAAGACGGTGCGTAATCGCATCCACGTTGGCATCTTACGTCACACTTTGGGCGTCGCTTTGTTGCTGGTTAGGGACCCTGTAACCGCTTGTTTGCCTCGTTTGGTCCAAGAACGACGGTGACGAGCCAGGCAACGCACTCATTCACACACCCAGGCTCCATATATACTAGCAGAGTGCTCATACGGTACACATATTCATGTTCGTAGAATGCCCTTCGTAATAGATCCCTCAAAAAGTTTAGACCTTCCTTGCTCTGTCAACGGCCGTCCATTTCAACGGTCATGTCCGTGCGTTAAAACGGTCAAAGTCGTTTCGTTTTGACATTTTTGACATTTCTGACGCCTTGACTCTTCTGTGCACACCCTCTTTTGTTTCTATCGTGCTTCATCTGCAGTCAAAGCTTGCTCGGGTGATTGGCAACGTCTTGGGCAGATTGTCGGATTAAAGAACTGCTGAACGATACAAGGACAGCACCGAAGACGAGGCTTCACACCTTGTTTTCGGGTCTGTGAATGAGTGTGGGCCCTGGCCGTGGGTCTATCCTTTTCTCCGTTCGACCTCATATTAAGGCACTGCCATTGCCGTGCACATAGTTATACGACGCATATTATACGGCATACCCCGTAATCTGTTAGGGCAGCTGGTCAAGGACGGAGCAGGCGACACAATTTCGACTCGACGGCACAGCTCCTTTGCTTTACGGGGGCGGACGACGGACCGTGTGGCCGAGGACGCCAGACAAGCACAGAGGCTGTGGCCAATGCATCTGCCGCTTCACCTTGCCACAAGACCATCTGGGCAAGGCTGCAGCCTGGTCAGACGCTGGCCGGGCCTCGGGGATGCATTGCAGCGTTCCGTACAAGTTGAAGGGTGCATATAGGATTTCGGATCTGGTGATCTGGAGCGCCAAATAGGTTTTTCGTGAAAATAAATTAAATAAAGTAAAGACAGACATTGGTTCTGCACGTCACTCCCCGTTCAGAGACGTAGTATTTCATCGCAACCATTTTAAACTGCAACAGCTCACCTGCCACACCCACTCGCACGCCCACTCTCGCCACGCTTACTTTGCCTCCTTACAATGTATGTCAAACAATCTGGGGAATATGGCTGGAGGCTGGGTGGCTGTATGCGTGTGGGGAGTGGCGATATCGATTTCGACGTGTCTCACTGGCATTCAGTCCACCGTGGACAACAAGGGTCAAGTCTTGTTGATCCTGTCCACTCTCACTGTAACTCTGCAACCGTTCATTTTCAGCAGCCTTTCCATTCTTGTCAGGCGGAGGCACCAATTGACTTCAACATAAACAAAATACATGCCTCATCAGGACCAATTTGAAGACTGCCCGAGAATGAAACTGCTACACAGCCGGTCCCCTCGTGGTCATTTTCTCTTGATTCCTCTTCTTCTTCTGTCAACTCGCCGCTCTGTCTTGCCTCGCTTCTCACCTTCGCCGCAATGCAACACTGCTTTTGCCTCCTCTGGTCCGAGACCACCCCGAAGCCGTGCGTTCGGGACCGGCGATGGACAGGCGAGCGGAAAAGTGAAGGGACTGGAGAAACTGGAGAACTGCTTCGTAACGACTTACTCATCGAAATGTCTTACCTTTCCGTTCTGTACGGAGTACTCTGGTTTTCTGTGAGAGTGCGACCGGTGAGCTCAAGACAGGGAATCCCTTCCTGAGGAGAGGTGAGATACCAAACACCGCAATGACAATAAGGAAACGACAAGACGGGAAAACGGAATGTGTCAAAACGGAGGAAATGGCAAAACGGACTACTAAAAGGAAAGGAGGTAAGGGGACTGGATATGGGAAGGCTTTGCCGACGTGGCACGGAACATGGAAGGCGGTAGACAAGCCGCTCCTGCATTGCACAAAACGCTCAGCTGAGCAGAAAAATAAGTCTGGCAAAAAGGCAAGGACAGATGTGCTACGGCATATTCTGTACAGTAGGATGGTTTTATGATTTGGCATCGTCGAGGGTCATCACTGCCGATTGCGAGTGTGACTGCCGGGCTGCACATCTGTGAAATCTGTACAATAGGACCGCTGCATGACCTCGTCTTCTCGTCTTGCCGGCTGAACATGATTCCGTACACCGCCCCCTTCGTCTTCGTATCTCCTCGTCTTCGTCTCTTTTCTCACGCACCCCTGTCTCTGCTTCCTTCTTTGTGTCAGCATCGTGACCGGTGACGACGACAATGGCCTGTCGTGGCTGGTTGCATTGGATCCCCATAAAGGACATGCACGTCCACGGGCGTCTATGTAAGATATGGCTACGTCCCTCCAACAGCCCTTCTGGTCAGCGCTGTGCAACCCAGGAAAGCTCGGCCCTTTTCTAGTTGTCCGTTTGATGAGAAGAGGAGGATGCTAGGACGCTGTAGAAACAGACGGCAAAGCGGAATGAATTTAATTATTCTTTGTCCAAAATAAAATTCATCGTCTGGCGTACTAACACAGAATGCAGCCATTGTTTACTTCCATCAAGCTAGCATTAGTCAAAACAGGGGCATCCAATGTTGCGTGACATGTCCCGTGGTATGTTTATCTTTATTTTGAGTATTTTGAGTATTTTCAGTATTTTCAGTATATATATTCGTTCAATTATTGATTTATTACATTGTTGCATTCCAACGACGAATTCTGTCCTGACAAGTTCTCCATCTTCCAGTCTGGTTTCACCGACTGTCGTGTCATGCAAACATCATCGCAATCGTGAATCAGCTCAACTGCATGTTTTGGTCAAAGCTGACATCATCGGTTGCGCCGTTCGGTTCGTGCGATTCGAGCAATTCAGGCAGCTCACAATGTCCGTCCAATCGCATCCGCCAACCGCATAAATGCACCTGCACATGATCTCTTTTGTCCCGCCTGGCGTACTGTCGCCTTTTCGACCTTGGTCTGTTCTTTTCTTGTCCCGCGAACAACAGCACACAGACGACTCAGTCGTACCACGAGATGCAATGATCGTCTGGCCGTCGGCTGCGAATGGGACGATATGCAAAGCAGCGGGGACAAAGCAAGACACGACAGCGCAGCAACAGGCAGCAGGCTCACCATCCGTCACCACGATGACCGCAAACCTGCCTTGGCTGCCACAAAGCGTGACTGCTTCCTACGCGGCCATTTCCCCGCATAAACGGGACGACTGACCTTGTTTGGCGCATCTTATTCGTGCATTTTGTGTGCGCCCTGTACGACGTATGGTTTGTTGCATCGTCCATTCGTTGCATGCAGGACTCCTGTGCCTTTTTTGTGTCCTTTCTGTCCTCGCGTACGCTCGGGTATGACGAAATGGCCAGCGTGATGGCTGTCTCTGGCCCCCAAATCGTTCACCGGCGGTTCGTATCCAGAAACGAACGGCCCAAAGCATCCAAAAACAGCACATCCGTGGCCGAAACCGACACAGCCCGAAACACATCTTGTCAACTGACAGTCAAGATGGATGTTTGCAGTTGCAGTCGGCTTGCGAGGCGGTTAGAGTGTGCCGACATGTTTCTGCTATACTGATGTTTCTGGTGTTCTGATGCGCTGGGCTCTCTCCTCTTGCACACCTTCTCTCGGTTCCTTCACTCCCAGGGTCTCCTCTCCGAGTGCCAACGTTTGAAACATGTCTTGCAATCGCCAGTCTTGCCCTCTGACGCAGATAGAAGACCAATCGAAGGCCTCTAGAAGCATAAAGGAGGTGTGCCACGGCGGCCGTCTGGACACCATCGCTGCCGAGAGAGACGGCGACGGTCCACTGGCGTTCCTGACAGCCTTCTCACCGCTGTGGACATTGCCCCAAACAACACACCCTCTCGCTTCCGTCTCCCCTCTCCTCTCCCCTCGTGAATCTTGTCACTTTTTTACGCCGTAACCGCCATCGTTGCGCGTCACGGCCCTTGCGGCCCGACAGAAGGGGTAGGTGACGATGGCAAAGATGGTGTGGATGTGTTGGCGACAACACAACATGACAACCGACTGACAACAAGGCGAGACATGAGCTCGAGACGGACAAATACATATCCGCCTCGGGTTGAGTGCTGGGCGATGTTTGTCTGTCCTCGTCGTTGTGGCAAAAAGAGAAAGAAATTCAGAAATACAAGAAATACACAACGATCTATTTCGAAATAATTTCAAAATATTTCACAAAATGTCAAGACAAATAAATGAAAATAAATTCCTGAATAAAATTCAACCAAAATAGAGCCTTACCAGACATAAATCATAACAAAACAAGACAACCCGCCATTCACTAGAAAGTCATTCATATGTCGCCATCGTCAAAAGTGCAGTCGATAATGCCAACACGTAAAACCAGACGTCCCATGATCACCAAAAATATGCCACTGTGGTTCAAGCGTGGGTGCCCATTTGGCGGGGCTGAGGGGCCGCGGAGAGACCCCATCGTGATCATGCACGGCAGCGGCCCAACCTAAAGATGTGCTGGGATTGCGGTCTGTCGTATGTCGCATGCGTACTCCGTCTCCATCGTGAGAAGCCAACGGCTGTTCAGCCCTACTGTCGACTCCATTGTGACCCTCATTGCAGTTGGCAACATGACCCATCGTGCCTGCCAGCAGTATGCGCCTCATGTGCATGCATACGCAGTATTCAATTCAGCAGGCACGATCGTGCGCGACATCCCGCACGTGGCGGGCAGCAGCCTGCCCAAAATATGCAGGAAGGCACGAGTTGCGTTCTTTCTCGTCAAATCGCACACGGTCACACGGTCACATCCAGCAGTGCAAAATGGGAAGGCGCGACAAAATGAGAAATCCGACGGCAAAGGAAAAGGCACAAATTAACCTCTGGAAATGCGTCGGCGTCGACGTCTACGTCTACGGCGTCGCATGACTCCAACTGGACAAAGAACGAGGCGGAGAAATGGACACGCGGAATACATTTTGCTCCATTTTCATCTTCATGTCCCATCCAATGGCCTGTTTGTGAGTCAGGACGGCCATCGTCCACAGTCCACGATGGCTGGACGGTCTGGCGTTGTGTAGAATACCCCGTACCAAATTGGGTTGGCGGTCCGACAGGAAAACAAAGAAAATAGCCGACCTGGGGTAAACGTTGAATAAGCGCCCTGGACGATCGTTGAATCGCGCCGGCTCTATTTGGCGCATGTTTTCGCGTCCTTTGGCTCGCCATGTTCGTCTGGTGTTGTAGCCGGGTCGTCGCCTTGGTCGCCTTCGTCTGCACCATGTAGAGGGAAGTACGAGAAAGGAAACAGTCCCATGCGACAACGAAGGACCGACCATGGACACAGGGAAAACTCACCATACACAAGCCAAAGACAAAAATTACCCAGCCTGGATCTCCGCTGCAACAAATTCCCGTACACCCGCGATCTAAAGTCCGATGCGGGCGAGTTCTGGGCCTGGAGAGCGTCAACCTGTTGAAGAGGACGAGTCCGCCGATTGGTGGCATCTCGGGCCAGTCGCAGACACACCGGATGCGCCTGACCCTCTCCTCAAAGAGGCAAGCAAATCAACCCTTTTGGGGCAATGCTCGGGAACTCGGACAACTACACCGAGCCACTGACCAAACTGGCGTGGCGAGACTCGTTCGGAGAAGAGGTACTTCCGTATGGAGTATTGTTGAGTCCATTGAGGGCAGAATGCATAGCGAGAATGGCTGCAGGGTCTGCACAGGCTCACAGGCTAGGCCCTTCCCTTGCCAACAGGCCTCCTGCGGCAGGCAGTATGTCGGCTCCTGGCTCCAAGCGACCAAGCGCCATTCCAGGGCCAATTTGGCCGTCCCCGTTTTGTGCATTGCCGCCGGCGCCTGCGACGTTCAGCCAGTCGCCGGGGCTGGGGGAGGGCAAGTCTCCAATCGCGTCGACGGTCATCCGTGGTCGTTGTCGGCTGTTCCGTTTTGGCAAGGGAAAACAAGGGCGAAACTCCCACGGAGAATTGTTTCTTGTTGACTATACCTACACGGTCTGGCAAGAGTCAACGGCCAGACGGACCTCTACACCCTCTCGCCGTGTCTGTGAGAAGGCCAAACAAAGGTGCCAGCATCCTATCGACAAGTCTTTGTAATTTTACTCGTTGGCGTCGGCGCTCGTGAGATGGTGTGCGAAATTAATCGCTCGGCCTCTTCCTCGCTCCTATCTCGCCGAGTGCCCTCTGCTTTCTCCCCAGACCGGTCTCCCCCGTTCTGAATCCCCATGCCCTACCCCAGACCGTCGACCGTGCATTGACATGCAGCAGGCTGCTGGACTGGGTCGCATCACGATGGGCACCGCGTCTGGGGGATGCAATAGTGCCGACAATGCCCCAGAGTTTCCTACGACGTAAGATACTATTTCCCAACCGACGTACTATGCAGGGGCTGCAAGCGTTTGTGAGGCGCCTGTAACAGTCTGTGCTCGCTTGCGCGGCACCTCACCGTCGGCTCCACTGCGTCGGACAATGCAGCCATTTCCCCTTTCGCTGAAGAAGACTGCGAGGCTGTCTGACAGCCCCTTCTGTCACAGCCCTTTCCCCTCACGCATACTCCGCACCGACTCGGGCCTTCTTTCTTTGACGCTCCTCATTCCCTGCGGAGTCTCGGGGCGGTCTCGCGCGGTGGGAAGTGAAATCGTCACAGGAGAGTTGTCACCATTTATGTGTCGTGTACAACTTGTCGTATCGCGACTGTTGCTGAAGTGTGCTTCCTTTTTCGTTTCCAGCCATGTGCTCTGTACGACTTGTACTCTGTATTTTTCCTATGCTCTCTCGGTAGTCTCTGTGTCCCCAATGAAATACGGCCGTTGCTCAAATCTCCAAATTCACCGATGATTGTCCGTGTCGAAAATCGCTTGTCGACATCCGGGTAAATTCGGCTAAAAGCGCCGGCCAAGTCTCCGCCCCCCTGCCTGCTAACACGAGGACACTCTCGTTCTCCGTTTCTCGACTCTCGTTTAATTTGAGCCTTCTAAACGAAGCGTTCTAGAAACCTGCGTTCTTCGCTAGGGCTGGACAAGAAACGCTACTTTGTAAACATGGTCGTACAATGGGGTGCATATTTTGTCATGTGAAAACGGCGCCTCTGAATCAGAGCAAAAGGCATCCAGACTCCCACCGGACATGATTGTGGCGAGTGTCTTGCGTGTCCGTTATACGGCGTCATGACGACAGACAAAGTACATTGCCCATTCATTCTGCTCTGTCCTTTCTCTCTGCCCAACGCCTTGATCGCTTGGCTCTTCTGTCCCTCACAATGGATGCCGCCGCCGCTGACCAGCCACCAGCCCTACGGTTCTTTTGTTTTGTGACCGGTTCTCCCGTTTCCTTTGAACGTTGCACACCTTCACCGACCCGACTTTCCACTTTGGGCGTCTGCTCCGTATTCTGGGACTTTTGGGCCTTCCAATCAAAACCGGCTCCACATGGGCGTTGTCTGTTGCGCTTCTGCTGTCGCCCTTTTTCGTCTGGCCCCGGTGCCATGTGGCCAATGCCACTAGCCTCGTCTCTAGTCAACGGAAGGGCCGTCGATGTATGTTGTACTCTGTAGTTGTATCTACTCTGTGCAATGTACGTTGTCATAACAGCATCACCCATGATATGTACTCCGAAAGTCGTACTTTTGCAGACAGCGATGCCAACATCGGGCAAGGCAACAGCATTTGCCGCGTCGAAATATGGAATGTGAAAACAGCTACGCCACGCAGCTGACCTCGGTGAGGACGGACCGTGTCTTAACAAGCAACGCGGGTGCATCGCGTCACGTGATATATACTCTCATCGCCCCAAAAGCCCTCTTCACCCGCATCCTCCTTCTCCGCACGGAAACAGGGGACGTCTTCCGTAATTGCAGGGAACAACGGAGTCACTGGGCGCGCTATGGTGCTGGGGGCCCCCAAAGATCACTGGGATCTGCTCCGCATTGGGAAAGAGTTTGATCCTCCGACGTGTTTTTGCCATCTCCAGCAACGTTGCCTCTCTTTTGTTCACCTTCCCAAAACCGCAACACAACAGTGCCATACAGGGTCGTTCTTATCTTACAATGTATCTTACTTTTCCGAATACTGATCCTTCCTGGAGTGCATTAAAGGATCAGCATTGGGGGAGCGGGGAAGTCTCCCAGCGGTTGGGTCCTTTCCTTGCCGGTGGCCTCTACAGGAGCATTATGTTGTATTCCTCAGTTGTATATATCGTACTTGTATGAGGCCCAAGCACAACCGCACGGCCTATTACCCGTAGATCAATACAGACCTCTCGATTCACATGAGCCTGTCCAAGTTGCCGAAAAAGGAAACCAGCTCATGGTCATCCTTGTGCTCTGTTTCTGCATCATCATACGGATATTCCTTGTCGCAGTGAGCGAGGCACAGTTGGTTCTGTTGGACGAGTTGCTTTCTTTTGTCTCGTTACCTCCTTTTCCTTCTACCTTTCGACCACTCAAAACGGGAATGGTAAACAGTACATGTAACTACTTGTAGGCCAACGTGACCAACAAGGAGCCAAGTGTTGCAGAGGAAGGCTGCCACAAACTCCACGGAAGGTCCGTTTTTAGCGGTATCTCAGACAAGGTCCATATCGGTTGGCCCTTGTCAAATTTCCGCCCAGAAGCATAACACCGCGACCGCATCGCATCGCACTAAAGCAAGGAACGGCCTCCTTCTGCGCGTGCTGTTGGACATGGATGGAGTGCTGTGTCAAGCCTGCACAGCGCTCCAAAAAGCTGCACAACAGACACAGGGAACGCGAGCGACTCAAAACGTGCCTGCTTCATACGATGCAAGCAAAAGGCGTGCTCGCCAACGCGATCCCAAACCGTTACCGAGCGTATCGGCACGAGATCAACCAAGCAATAGCCAAGTCGCGGCCGCGTCGCAACATCCGCGACGGCCTGTCTATTCATCTCCTGCCACCCCCACAGAAGGCTGACTTTTGGAAATAGAGTGGTACGGTGCGGACAGTGGCGCCGTGTGGTGGTTTCCAACTGTTGGTGTTGGTGACAATCATCAATCATGGCTGTGATGATGGGCAACCGCTCGTGACACTTGAGCGTGGGGGGTTTCCTTCCTCTGTTTCCCTGTTGCGCTCTCCCCCTTTGACGTACGACGTATCATCTCCGGATTAAGAAGGCACGACGTTGTCACTCGTAATACCGTCTGCTTTCCTTCCCCCACCCCTTTCCCCTTCCTCTCGTTCCCAGTTGTCTTCGTTGTTTGGGATGTGTTTGCGTGCCAGGGGGAAGGCGCAAACAACAACCCCCAGGCTCCCAGCGAGCCAGGTAAGGAGAAACACACAACCAACAACCAGAAACTTGAAAGGGTCCCGCGGGCAATATTACCCCCCACTTACAGCGGCCTCAACCCATGTGTCTCTTGGAAAGCGTTCCTATTGGTTGGATGACCCCCAGTTTGGGGAGAAGGAAGGGGTGACCCTTGTTTCTGTTTGCCCACCTGACCAACGCCTGGAATTGAGTCCTCACATTTTACTTTCTTTTTTTGGTTGCTCTTTCCCTTATTCTGGCTGACAAGTGGCACACGCCGGATCACGACTGCCTATCCTGGCTGCTGGGTACCCCAGTCCAAGGTTCCAATATATGCCCCGATCGCTGCTGGCTCTACCAAGAGAGAAAGTACCGCTCTTTTTTTATGGGGCGGACAACGGTGCTCCCCGGCGGCCCGTCGAGACCCAAAACTTGGGCAGCACCTTGCTGACCATTGAACCATTGAAATCGTGGGCCAACGAGACGCGAGAGGAAGCCCGGCAGCAACACGAAAACGATCGTCTTGCTTCCCTTGTCACTCTCACGGAGTATGTCACATACATCATACAATCACATTCGAGTCGACTTGCTCCGTGGAGGTTCCCCTGAAGGATGTGCAGGAAACAAGAAAAAGGGGCAAGGAGAAAAGAGACACATGTGGTTGCTTTTCCAGAGAGCTGGTATTGTTTTGTCGCTTACTGAACGTGTCATTTTTTGCGTTTTTTCCGACTCCCAGTGAAGCAAGGGCTATGTTCGGGTGGCGAGACAATACGCATCACAAGATGCAAAAAAGGGGAGACGTTTCAGTTGTCCATGGTTTGATAACGGAGCCCTCCGTTTTCTGATTTCCTTTTTTCTTCTAATTTATTGACCGAGAAATCGAAACGATCCCAAAGAAAGAAAATTGGATTACAACGGTTGACCAAGCAGCCGACTACCCCATGACAGAAAAGTCACGATATCGTTTGGAATACATTGTACCGTTGCAATTTCCCCGAGCTACGAAAGTACTGTCCCCCCACACATTTGTAAATACCACCCGCCTGGGACTTGGGTCTCTACGATTACTACGTAGTAGGGAAATGAGGGCATCGTGGGACATGGCTGGTGGGGTATGTTTCCGATGTCGTTCTTGATGTTGCATAGCATGCCACCGTGAGCAAATTCTCATGTCTGATTGCGCGAGGTGAAGGTATTGAATGGGGGCATCCTGCCCAGAGAAGCTTTTCTCCCCTGCACTGCCGTTATTTCTCAACTTTATCCATCCAGCTGCAGGAGACCTTTCCAGCAACCTGGGTTCGCATGAGCGGGACGTGTTCATCCTCCGGTGCTGCCCAGACTACTGCTGGCAAAATGCACAAATCATACGGCGCATGCACACAGAAAGGGGCATGGGCCTTGGGGACATGCATGTGCAATGCCGTGGACCATCCTTATCTTGCCTCGTGGAAAAAAGACAAAACATTGAGGAGAGTATGGACAGAATTGTCGTTGCGACATAAAACTTTCAGTGCAAAGTTGCTGAGGCAGGCGCCGACGAGAGGACGAGTTACCCATGTTTCCTTTAAATGTGACGAGTCAATTTCCAGTATAGCACATTCCTGTTTTGGAGCCCAATGAGCCCTGTACTTTTTTACTGCGCTCCATACGGAATGGGCGGCCCAGGCAGGATTATTGTTCCCCTAGAGCCAGACGACATATTTAAGTTGACCGTCGCCGTGGTGCTGGGAACTTGTCAGATCAAAGTAGGCAAGGTAATTTGGGCAAGGCGGAGAATGGGCGCAGTTGTCGGATGTTACAGTCGCTGATGTGCGTACAAAACGTAAGATGATACTTTTTGGCCGCAGTTGGCACGGAGTAACAAAAAATACAATCCTAATTTTCTTTTGCACAAAGGAGCCTGTCTTTTTACAATATTGTTTGGACCAGGCTCGCAAGACTTTCAAACAGGCCGAAATCATAATTTTGATATATATATTTCGTATTTTTTTTTGTCATATCCACCTCCTGGTATTTACCCCCATTAACATACCACTAGAAGTTGGCGCTTTTCCGCGAGCTTTGCGGTCCGTTTTTTCCGAGCGAATCGGTTGGCGCTTTGTGGTCAGTGCCAAAAATGGCAGCGCATTCGTGCGGCACTCGCTCGTAGTGTAAGGCTCCGTGTAAGTCGTCTTACAACCCGAATGGGCGCTTGGTTTATGAACGTCTTATTGATATGTCTGGTGAACCTCAACGATCGGCACCGTCGAAATGCAAACACTTTGCTGCCTTTTGTCATCCCTCCCGCTTTCCGCACTACGATCGTGGTAACGCGATAATAAAAAACAGGCAAGATAGGCAAGACAACCAAGACAACCAAGACAACCGAGACAACCAAGACAATCAGGGGACATACATCGATTGCATGACTTGTACAGTGGGATAAGCTAGTTGCTCGTCTTACACACGTAGATAGGCGAGCAAACGATTGTCCCTGGCTGGAATGGAGCATCTGGGGGATGAGCGCGTCTCCGAGCTGGACTGAGACCTGTACTCGGATGGCATTTGAAGAGATGTTGGGAAAGGATCGTGGTTTTGCAAGAGAACTTCGACGATACGCCGCATTCTATATTGTTGCGAACATTGTAACGTTGTACAGGTATTTCGTATTAATTACTCCGTACATGTACACGGTCAGCAAACCACACGGCACTTGCCGCACCGTTTAAAGAGACTCTGACATCGTGTTGAGAGTGGAACGACGCCGCCGCCTCCGCGTCACCACAATAGCGCCGAGCGGAAGAAGCCACCAGGCCACCAAAGTCTGACAACACCCAACTTGTATGGTCCATCTTGAGAGAGAGAATGGCAGGATTTTGCGGCCTTTGGGTTGTCAGGCGCAGTGGAGCAAAGTGCGACCCAAGCTCGCCAAGTCCAGACGGACAGACACAGCAGACAAAGACAGGGCCTCGAGCCCGCTTCCAAGGGGCCGGGCCACCGAAGCGAGACGCCTCTGGTTGAATGCCGAAAACCCCACGAGTCTTGCTGCACCCCGGACGGTGAAGAATTGAACGGACGAATACGACGCATGTCGATGCAAATTTTTGGTAACAGACATCTTGTCTTTCATACCCATTTCCGCCATACTGGATACTTTCGCAACTGGACCTGCATCCAGCGGCACAATGTCGGTCGGATGGCCATATCCCGAAGATTTGGGTCGGGCTTCTCCATTATATTTTTATCTGTAAATTTCTGTCGCTACTACAAAATATGTGATATTTCTTGATAAATACATGTACATCATAGTGTCCGTTGTCCCCACAGAATGGGCAGGCGAAGAAAACGAACCCAGACAATG